TTATTCATAATAAGAACAAACAACAACATCACAGCAACAACATTAAAGTAACAAACATTGAATACTTTTGCACAGTTCTTTTTGGATGGGAAAAGTTCTCCTCATGTACAAATATTCTGTCGGACAGCCACAGTCCATGATGTCGTATCCTTTTTTGATCACTTTGTTTACATAATCTTTGATACAATCTCGGACTTCTTCCATCCATTTCCCTTGAATCCAGGTCCTTTCTGGTCCCTCTGTTTTGTGAGCCAAGACGTATTTGACTTTCCATTTGAATTCCTGATACTTGGGTTGCTTTGGCCCTAATAATAATACTATGAGTTGCACATTGATGGTCCGGTAATTTGAATCTCATACAGGTTCACATCATTGACTCCTGTTTCTCCCGGATTCTTATCCATGAAATCTTGAATACATTCTTCTTTGTTTTTCATCCATTCTCCTTTTTTTAGTGGAACCTGTATGCTCTTACTTTTTCCAACAGTACTCTGAGCTTAAAAACTCCATGTTGCTCTGGCCCTCAGTCAGATCAGAAATGATTATTTTTGACTTGCCCGATTTTATATACTCTATTGTGTCTCTATTTTTAGACTCCCTGGATTTGTGGTCTTCTTAGGGGTATGATGTATCATCGTAGGACTAGGCATAATATAACCTACGGAAGAACTAACACAGACCATCCAATATTCTCGATTAGTATCATGTAAAGCTAACATGACCACACTGGTAATGATAAGAGATACACAAATGAATAATTGTGCAAAATAAACAATTTCTTCTCCAGGCGCATTCTCTCCACAAAATTTCCAATGAGGAGTTATTGAATGAGATCCGTTTGGGGAATCCATGAATCGAAACTAGGAGGATATCCTTTCCACCGCACTTTGACTTCTTGAATGATTTTTTTCCCTACACGTCGCTTTTTATACCCCAAGATTTCTTCTACTTCGTACACATCATCTTTTTTAATAGTCTGTTGTAATTCTTTTTCGTAAAAAGTGCCTTCTAATTCCTCACCATGATCATCTTGGATTTTATACACATAAGGATATCTTCCAGGCACTCTTTTAGAAATGGTAAACAATTCTGTAGTCCATTTGGGCAAATATCCTTTTTCAAAAGTGCGTTTAGCTTTACTAATGCGGACCCGATCTCCTTGTTTAAATTGAGGTTTTTTAGGGAATGTTTGAGATTTTTCCCCATATAAAGTTTTCCAGACTTTCAATACATTAGAAGCATTCACTTGAGCTGGTGCTCTTTTGATACTCCGATGATAAGAATGATTGTAAGCATATACTAAATCCGGTAAGACGTCTAAATACCGTCTGGTTTTATGACGAGTGAAATAACGCCACATGCGTGCTTTGATGGTTCTCTGAAATCATTCCACGATACTGGCTTTAGTGTCCATATTACGAGTGGTAAAAAAAAATGAATGGATTTAAAAGTTTGTAAGAATTCTTAATTGGTAAATTCTTTGCCTTGATCGGATTGAATGCGGATGGGACGTCGTCCGTCTTGTTGAAAAATCTCTTGTAATCCTTGAATCATTTCTTTTCCCGTTTTCTGTTTTAAAGGCACTACCCAAGCATATTTAGATAAGACGTCAATGGCACACAATAAAAAAGTATATCCATCATTGTATTTCTTTAAACTGGACACATCTGCTAAATCTAATTGCCATTGTTCATCTATGTCGGTCACTCTAGTTTGTTGTCTGCGGAATTTTCTTTGAATGGGTTTATGTAAAGTGTAAGTATCATGTTCTTTTAACCAGTCTCGAATCTTTTTCAGGGAAATTCCTAAAGGTTTTACCTGACGATACAAAGCTTGTTTTCCTCCGTACCCTCTTTTAGGATCATAATAAATCTCTTTTAAAATATCTTCCACTTGTTTCTTTTTCATTTCTTAGGTAAAGGAAGCCAATTTTCTTCAATTTTTGCTAATTTCTTTTCTTCTTCTTCGTCTTTTTCAAGTTGGGCTTTTGATTCCTTTTTAGCTCTAAAGGCTTTAAAGTCTTTTTCCAGTTGGGCTTTTAATTTCTTTCGAGTTAAAGGACTATATCTGGATCCTACCCTTGTCCCTACAGGTGTTGAAATGGATTTTTTAATGATGGTTTCTGGATCTTCTATAGGACTACTTACTGGAGTGTCCAAAAACGAAGAAAATCCACTATCGTCTATTTTGTCACTTTTAGGAGTACTGATTTTTCCAGGTTTCTGCATGGCTTTTATAAGTTTTCCATTACTCAGGTATTCCAGAGGAGTACGGGTCTCTTTTAAAGCTTGAGCAAATTCTTCTAATCCTGTAGAAACCGGATGATTTTTCAGAGTATGAGATCTCATACTATCAGCCATTAAATCCACAATGTTAGAATTGGCAACTTTTTGACCTCGATAACTAATTTCACCTTATTTATTCCAAGTTAACACTTTAGGGTTTTTCTTTAAATGATTTAATAATAATCCAGCTTTCCTTTTCATTTTTTTATTGATGGTTTGAAGAATTTCATCTTCAATCTCAGCTGGGGCTGCTGGTGATCCTGCTGCTTCTGCAGGGGATGGGGGTACTGGAACTGCTGGGGCTGGAACTGCTCCTGCTGCTGATGCTGGTTGAGCTAATCGAGTTTTTGTAGGTTGTTGTCTAGCTTGTTCTAAATAATTTCTATAGCGATGAAGTTCTTGACCATAGAAAGCGACTTTTTCTTCTGGGGTTAAATCTTCACGTCTTGTAATCTCATCTAATTCCTGACCTAAACTGATAGTAGATTGAAATTCGGAAGGTTTCGGTAATTTTCCATTAAGTTCATTCAATAAGACTTCAGGAACTAACACCATTTTACGACTCATTTTTTCTTCTTCTTGATGACTTTATAGACAGATCGACCGGCATTCAACAGTAAAGGTGCTGCTGAGATTAAAAGGGGTAAAATGTTTCCTCCTTTTTGTTGAAGTAATAAAGCTCTTCGTTTTTGAATGGATTGAGGTTGAACTAGTCTCCTTAAGATGTGTTTCTTTGGAGCTAGTTTTCGTTTCTGAACCGAACTGAGAGGTAACACTCCTTTTAATAGGTTTTACACAATCTCACAAATCTTCAGAATACAATCTCCAGAGCAATGTTTTAAAATACTTGTCTTTAAGGGTGAAGAATAATGAGGATTAAATAACACTCTTAAAAGAGGCCAATGAGATTTTAATCTTGTAGAACAACAAGTGTTCTTCTTCTTCTTCTTCTTAGCCATCCTTTTCAAACAATGAAGAGGTGTCCCTCAGTGTGTCCTCCTTTTATACTCTAAAGGAGGAGGAGCATACATGCCATGTTTGTCTTTCTCATGTTTATTTCTATTTTTTTCGGTGACATAGATTTTGGAACAATATCGGCATTTATATCTCATTCCTTTTGGAAGTTTAGGTGTAGAAGCAGACAAAGGTTGAAAGCTGGCTTTTTTAGGAGTCTGTATGGGTACTTTAATTCCAGGAGAAGTATTCCAGGAGAAGGATCCCCTACATTAACCTTAGGAAATAAATCCGGGGCTCTTTGACTGCCTATGGGTGGCATAGCACGATCCATTCTCATTTCAGCTTGTTTCTTTAATTACTCTCCAATAGTTTTTTGTCTTTGTACTTTATAATACTGATTAATTTCATTTCTTAGACTTTTAGGCATAGCTTTACGTTGAGCTGGAGTTTTTGGAGTAGCTTTTTTCTTTCTAACACCAGCAGGGGCTTTTCTTTGAGCAGCAGTTTTTCTCTTTTGAGTAGGTTTTCTCTTCTTTCTGCTCTTTTGAGCCACTCCTCCTACTCGGACCATCCAGTCGGGAAACATTCTTTGATTCTTATTATTGACTCTTACCACTACACTTTTCAAATGACGAGCACGTCGTTTTTTAGGGGTATTCCATTTAAATAAATGACGAATGATGACTCCTCCTAAAAATCCTGCTCCTCCACGTTTTAAAATAGCTTTTTTCTGTCTTCCTCAGTAGCTGATTTATCAGCAATGATACTTAAATCTTGACGATGATGATCAATAAATCTCTGGGTCTGTTTATTAATGGGTAATACCCCTTTCATTAAATTTCGAGCTCCCATAGCAAACCAATTCAATAAGGCTTTACGCCATAATTCAATTAAATGAGCTCGCTTGGCAGGATCTTTTTCCCGCTGTAAACGTCTTAAAGTTTTCACTAATTTACTATTGGCTGATGGTGCCATGATGAAAGTTGAATGATAAATGACAAGTGTGAGGGTGATACATTTTTATTTATACTCTTGGGGCATGTTTATAGTCAACAATTCAAACAATCGACTTCTCAATCTGTATTCATCTGGGGTGTGTGGACTTAAATCCACCAAGAGATACCCATGAGGAACATTGGTAGCTTCTTGATAAGCGGACATCAAATGAGGTAGAGCTAACTGACGACTCAAGGCACTGATTTGAGATTTGTCTCGAGGATTTTTAAACAAGACTAAATAATGAGCATTCAAACTAATGGTGCGATGTGATGCTGCCCTATCAAACAAATTCTGAGTGATGTAAATCACACTGGTATTCCGATGATGAGCTTTACGGGTAAACCAATCCACGATCGATTCAATGGCTTTTCCTCCCATCATGTCGTCAAAAATGAGTAAGTGTGGTATATTTAAACTAGCCGCTAATTTCTCATCGTCTTGGGGAATATATCGAATGAAAGACACCCGATCTCTTAAAGAAGTGTAAGCAGGTTGCCATTCCCGATAAGACCAGACAATTTTTTGTGGAAGGGGGGTAATCCAATGTAAATTTTCTATTAATTTCTTGACAAATTCCGTTTTGCCTGATTTAGAAGGTCTTGCTACCACCATGGTAAATTCATGTTTTAATTGAAAAGAGGGAAGAGGTGTCTCCTCAGGTTGCATGATGACAAATGAAGACACAGGTAGTTTCAATGCTTTATTTATAGTTAACAAACACACACATAAAATACAGTCATTTAATTAATAAACACATTTTTAATAACCATAAGGTATAGTGTTATAATCTTTCAAGATCTGTCTCTTGTCATATACAATTCTATACTTTTTATCTAAAGGTAATGTCTTGACTTGATGATCTCGGGTCCTCTGTATTTTATAAGGATAAGACACTGTGACTTCATCCATTCCTTTCTTGAGCATTTTTTCTAATGTCTCTGGTGACACGATATTGGAGGCTCGATAATTAAGAGTTAATCCTTTGACTTTAAGGATGGAATTTCCTTTGGCAGTGAGGTAAGCATAATTTTTGGGACCTCCTGACATGAATTTAATGATGTAATCCCCGTCCAATTCATCGGTCCATTCTCCTAAACTATTGCCAAGGGTCGGATTAAATTGTCCTTCCTTATGGTGGTACACGATACTATCCGTATCGAAATAAAGGACCCGATCTCCTAAAGGTTGTAAAGTCTCGTAGAGATGTAATCGAGCATAAGCGGTAGTGAAACAGGCTAGTATTACATTTCCAAAGGGACATTCTTCTACTATTTTGTCTTGATAATTGACTAACATCATGTCTAATTCCGGCTTCTCTTTATTTTCTAAGAGTTGGATACCTTTAATCTCTTTGGTCGAATCTTGTAAGAGTTCTTGTAATTCCTCTTCTTCCGTTAAGTATTTCGTTTTCGGTAATACTAGACGTTGAGCAAATTTTCCCCACAGACAATTTAAAAAGAGTTTGGCTATAGTTCTTCGCACTGGATTTTTTTTCTATACTTAACAGGTCCATTCTAATTCCTTCTTTTTCTAAGACTTGATGAATGTAATCTAGTTGGTGTTCTTCCGTCTGACACTCAGGTGGAAATCCAGAAGCTTCTTGTTTGATCTTTAAAAAAGTATCGATGTAAGGTCTGAATAAATCTGTACTGCTTTCTGGAAAATGCCAAACTTCGTAAATCTGCTCTAAAGTATACCCCATGTCCAAGGCTTTGTGTAATTCGGTCGTCACCCAGGTACCTGTATGACTGCGTTCTTGGGAATTGTGTCGACATCGATGTTTAGAGTCCTGTTGTTCTGCACAAGTTCGGCATAAGGGAAATAATAACTTGCCTCCCGTGCGATAAGGTAAAACTGGGTGATAGAGGCCTCGAGGTGGTAAGACCCTGCAGTGAATGAGTCCGAAATAAGATCTGACGTCCTGGAATTGGTCGGTAATGATCTGAGGATGCCCCACAGGAAAAGCTCTGTGTTTTAACACGTAAGGATAGAGAGAACACACGTCTATGTATCTGATATCCCCTTCCTCACAATATAATCGTGATGCATTGGTCCGACCTCCGTCCAAAGCCTCTCGGGGGTTTAAAGGATCTAGTATGTTAAGGGCTGATAAATAATTCTGTAAAACCTTATCTCCTTGCACTTGTTCATCGAATTCGTGCTCCCAGATATAGGTGATATTGTACCCCATTTGCTCTAAGACCGACTTCCTTCTTAAAGTTTCTTTATATAATTGTTGGTAAGTATATTGAGTCCGGTGAGAATGAGTTTCGGTCTGTAGCTTGGGATAGCAGGTGGGACATCCATGCCAATAACACCCAAAAAATTCATAGACGGTGCAAGTATCTTCTTGATATCCGTCTACAGTATAATTTCCGATCTTGAGTTCTCCTCCGTTTCTCGCATGTTGGATGTGAGATCCGCTTCTTTGACTCAACCAGGTTAACCATCGACAGGCTTTGGCCGAATATTGACGAGCAGGTTGATATCCCAGGTTGGGAATGATGGCAATGGTATCTTCGGGCATGAATCCTCGACGGTAAGCTAAATTGGTTGCACTGGCAAAAGTGATAGATTCCTGAAAGGGATCTACATTCACTAAACTCTTGAGGGTGGATCTAAACTGAGCACAACATCGTCGTAAAATATCGACGTCGGAAATACAATAATCTAAAAATTCCTTTTGAAAATCAAACACTTTTCCAGCTTGTTGGTCGTACCATTGAAAAAAAGCTTGTCGTCCGCTAATAGTCATGTCGTCCGGATTGTATTTATCTGGAGGGGGATAAGGTCCCACGTAATTCTGGTTCTGTACCGTATTGAAAAAGTGAGGGAAATACCCTTTTTTCAGTTCGGTGAATCCGAAAGCGGAAGGCATTTTGGACAGAACAAAAGGTAAAAAATTAAAAGAATCGATGAATTTTAGTCCACAGATTTCCATGCATAAGATTTTACTCCCGTTCTGGATGACGGTGGGTTTCATGCAGGCAGAATGCACCAGGTAATTTAAAATGAACTGTCCGTCGTATCCTTTGAAATTGTGAGCAATGATGATGGCCTGGTCGTGTGATAAACTACCATTCTTATCTCCTTTGCTGGTGGGTTGTAATAACCAGTCCATGAAGTCTTTTAAGGTATTTAATCCTTGAAACACGTGTTGACGGGGTCCCATGTGTCGACAATGAGGACAAGGATCCTCAATGGGTAAATGCCCACAATGTTGACAGACCCGATGTGCCACACGTAAATTAGGGATGTGAATGCCCTTTTCCTGCATACATTCGAAATCGAAATAAATGTAAAACTGTAATTCCTCTTTTCCCTTCTTCTTTTTGGGAGGTTTCTTTTGAACGTAGCACTGATGATCATTTTCTACGATTTTCTTACAGATCTTACATTGTTTCCGTCCTCCGCATAAGTGATGAGCGAGTAAAGTTTTAGACAGCCATTTCTCACATTGTTGGCATCGTCCCATTAAATTGCAGATGGTTGTTGTCGTATTTTTACTGTAAGGTCGTAAATGATTTTCATAACAAGTTCTGTTCTTAAAAAATCCTTGGCAATGAGAACATGTAATCTGGCGCCCGTCATCAGGACATGGGGTGTTCGCTAAACAAAACGGACATCGAAAACGACACTTGGTACGATGGTTTTCAATATGACTATAGCCCACATCGCAATGATCACAGTAATATTGACACCCTGTGATACCTGGCATGGATAAAATGGCATGATAATGATGGTCATTTAACAGAACATTTAAAAAAATTCCGTCTCCGTAGCCTTTGTAAATGGGTTAAAAAATGAGTTTAGAGGAGGTAGACTTGATCTGAAATATTTTCAGTCGATATTGAGGATATAACACTTGTTGTAATTTCTCCCATTCTTCAGGTCCACAAGGCTGATGAATATCACAGCCAGCTTGTTCCCTGAGAGCTAGAGCTTCCTTCTTCTGGTCATTAGCTCTTACATCTCCTTTTCGCATACGTAGCCAATGTTTTTCCCATTCGGGATCTGAAGTTTGTGGTTTTTGACTGTGTAACCGAGTGACGACAATAGCTCTAACTAAACACATGTTATCCTTAGGATTGTGGATCTGTACGATGCATCGTTTCCCTTTAAGAAAAGTGTCCTTATTGACCATCAGGTGTTTGGTTTTCTGTCCACCACTTCCTTCTGGATATTTCACATGAAACATGTTAAATTCCATGGCACCGTCACCCAGTTTAAAATCTTTTTTAGATTGTTGGACGGCTTCTATTTTGTTTAAAATGACATCCTGGTTAAAATGTTTACATTGGGTAAACTCGTACGAAATGTCAGATTCCAGAGAAGGGTGACGTATGTTCAAACGTAAGTAATCGTTAGGATTACACTGCATGTTATATATCCGTTTTTAACATGTCTCTAAATAATTGCCGAACAAAGCCTCGGTTTTCCTCCTCCTCTGGAAATTCCTCAAAATTGATTTTGTAATTATTTTCTTGTGCTTTAAATTTTGGGGAATACCTGGTAGAATCTTTTCTCACTTTATAATATTGAGAAATGGTCTTAGGTTTATGAGGTGAATGAGGTGATGGTGGTGGTGGTAATGATGAACTTGATTGTTCTTCTTCTTCTTCAGGTATATTCCGTAAAGCCTGTACTTGTTGATGTCGATTAGCTTTCTGTATTCTCTGTAAGTACAAGGCATTTCTTTTCTTAAGATCTAATTCTTTCTCTGGTTTCTGTTTCATTTTTTTTCTTAAGTCTTGGTGTCTGAATATTTTTTGACAACAGAATGAAATCAAACTGGAGAGAAGACTGTATTTATACACTGGATGACGTCACAATGCAAAGGTAAGGGGTTTTTGCACAGGACACTGGTGCTGTTATATTTATAGTAACAAAGAGATAAAAAAAATAGTTGAGACTAAAAATAGATTTGATTAAAAATAGATTAAACTAAGTTGAGACTAAAAATAGTCGAGACTAAAACTAGTTAAAAGAGCGAAAAATAGAGGAGACTAAAAATAGATGAGACTAAAAAGGTATATAAAGAGGTAGGGAAAAAAAACAAATTTTCTCATTCTGAATGAATCATCTATAAATATTTGAAATCCTTCTAATGTTTTTTTTTTTTTTTTTTTTTTTTTTTTTTTTTTTTTTGGTTTTGTAGTCATTGACTCTAGTGTGTGTAAAAACTTGGTTTTCAGAAAATAGGGAAACGGTTGTGAATGACATGACGTCATAATGCATAGGTCGGTGTGGATTTGAATCCCTGCCAAAACTGTGTGTCTGTATGACTGGTGTTTTTTTTTTAAGAATCTGATCTAATTATAGTAACAAAGAGCTAGAAAAAAATAGTATAGCTGTGCAAAAAACAAACTATATAAGTCTAACAGACTATAAAAGGATGAATTCCAGGTATATCTATTTGTAGAATTTTAAAATCTATTTTTAGACCCGCCCATCCAGGCGCTCTATAACTACTATCATTATTATCAAAATATAAACCTGTATCATTATTAAGCTGCGTAGGTAAAATTATGGTGCGAGTCATTTTTTAAATATGTTTATAATTATTTTCATTCAAACAATCTTTTTTATAAATACCAGGTCATTCAACTGTTTATCACCTTATTGAGACATACGATTACATAGCTAAAGCTATAGATGAAGGAAAACACTGTTGTATGGTTTTCTGTGATTTGTCTAAGGCATTTGATCGGGTATGGCATAAAGGTCTTCTATTTAAGTTACAAATTTATGGTGTTAGTGATAAATTATTGCTATGGTTTCAAAGTTATTTAGATTTAAGGACACAAAGGGTATTGCATAGGAATACTCTGTCTAATTTGAACCTTTACATGCTGGAGTCCCTTAGGGGTCTGTATTGGGACCACTTTTATTTTTGATATATGTCAATGATGTTGCTGAAAATATGTCGAGTTTAAGCAGGTTGTATGCTGATGATAATTCTTTACAGAACTGTTCTGAAAATATACATGATATTCAAGTAGGATTGAATTATGATTTAAATCAACTTGAACAGTGGTCTAAACAGTGGCTATTGAAATTTAATCCTTCGAAAACCAAAGCTATCTTGTTTAGTACTAAGAAAAATGTCGATCTACCAAGGCTTAAATTTCAGGACTGTTATTTTGATTTTGTATCATCACACAACCATTTAGGTATTCTCTTTTCACACGACCTTATATGGTCAGCGTACATTGATTCTATCGTTACCAATGCATATAAAAAATTAGGTCTACTTAAAAAATTGCAGTTCAGGGTAAGTGCTATAAAACTTTATCTTTTTTATATACTACTTTTATAAGACCTCAGTTAGAATACGCAACTGAAGTTTGGTGTTGGTGTTCTGGACAAGATTCCGAAAAACTAAAAAAATTACAGTTAGCAGCAGCAAGAATAGTCACTGGATTAATTAACTTCTTTGGCATCGCGAGATTCTCTCTATTTTGAAACTGGATGGGAACCACTTGCTATTAGAAGAATGTCCAAAGTAAGAACAACTATGTATAAAATTTTTCATAATATGGTACCCGAGTATCTGAAAGAAATATTTCCAAACATTCGAACACACGAATCAAATTACGTAACAAGACAATCACAAAATTATTGCATCCCGAAGTGTAGATTAAATACAGCTAAACTTGGAAATCTCGAACACGGATATCTCGAATACCCCGGATATGTCGAAGTAAGGCCGCGGTCCTGACGAAATTTGCTTTATAAATGATTAAAATAAACCCTCTATGTCGAACACGGTAATGTCGAATATCCCGGTTATCTCGAAGTAAAATTGTGTACCCATTCATTAAAATCACATGCGTTATCTCGAAGTCAGGATAATTTTCCGCTCTGATGATCAAGTCCGTTAGGTAAACTGAATGCTCTATTGATAACAACCACCTGTCTGTCACGCACGGGTTACCTGTGTTCCTGTGATCAATAGATAATAGCGCGATAATTATACTATGTGTAAGTATGGCTTACCTTGATTTTAATTATGCAAGCCAAGGGTTGTGTGTATTAGTCTTATGCATACGCATGGATGACACGTTAATTGTTTTGTGGCTGAAGTACTTTATCTTGATAATCGCTATTTAATGCTATGTGTAATATGCGCTCTTGCATAGTTTATGCATATGAAAGCGAAAATTATAAACATCAATGTGAAACAAAATTCTGTTATGTAATGCAATAAGAATCTATTCTTCTATATGAGTGCGCAGAATTTACAACCGTTAGTACACACCATCATGTGAGCGTGTGTCGCAGTGAAAACTCAAGTTGTGCTATAGTGCCCTATGATTCAGCGTTGTTCTGTAGTTAGACAAAAGTGCGTGTTTCTTCTTTTGCATTCGATTTTATTACGGTAAAATATTTTCTTTTAACTGATTATAACTGTATGAACATGAACACCCGGATATCTCGAAATTCATCAACGGTCCCTTCAACTTCGAGATGACGAAGTTTAACTGTAATTATAGATAATCTTTTGTCCCAATGGCAATAAGGGAATGGAACTCTTTACCTCTTGAAACAAGACAATTCATTACTATAGGTTCCTTAAAAAACTGTATAAACTCTCAAAAAACACCTACTCCTGCCTTTTTTTCTTTTGGTGTTCGTTATGGAATGTAATTTATACTAGATTAAGACACAATTGCGTTCTCAATAAAGATTTATTTAGGTGCAACATCATTTACAGTCCATTATGCACTTGTAGAAAAATAAAAGACGCATATCATTACTTTTTTCTTGTGCGAAATACACTGTCCCAAGAAACGATTTGTTAAATGCTATTCTAGAATGATTAATTTACGTATTGTAGACACTCACGTACTGTTATGGGGAGACGATTCGATTAGCATTTCTGAAAATGAAAGTTTATTTTTAAATGTGCAATTGTTTATTAAGAGATCTGGTCGCTTTTGAATTTATTTATGTAGATTCATTTGTACATACTACATCAAATCAATTTTTTACATGCATAACCTATGTAAGATAATCATATTGACCTTTGTTCCCAGTGTAGTTTAATTTTTTAACATTATTTTGTGTAATTAATTGTTATAAAGGAGAGGACGTTCTAAATTTTAAGAACGTCTGTCCGATCCTTTTGTTGTAATATCTAAACAATAAAATATGTTCAAATCAAATCAATGAAGTTTTTTCCATATCCTTAGGGAGGGGGGGGGGGGGCTGCCGTAGCGGAACAACGTAACACATGCGTTTTAATTTCGAAACGCATACATTTTCGAAACGCATACATTAGAGTGTACTGGATAAAAAACAGCGCCTATGTTTATTCTTTGTTATATTGTTGAACAGTTCAAGTATTATATCAGTAAATTATTGCTGCTTGTCTCAAATACGTGTTTCATGTGCTTATAAAAATATCACAAGTAAAAGCTTTTCAAAAAGCTTGCTTGACTAAACCAATCAATATCTATGGAAATTAACGTT